CGCACAATGGAATACTATGCTGCATTAAAAAACAAGGAACTCATGCAATATTATTCAAAATGGTTGACTCTGGAGAACATTATGCTGAGTGAAATATCCCCGTCACAAAAGGACAAATATTACAGTATTCTTTATGATAGTAGATATAATTTATCACAGATGGTCCTACAATAAGTGAACACTAAAGATTTTTGTTACATTATGAAGTTTTTGATGTCTTGATTAACAGGTTAACACAAACTCTTTTTGAATAGCTTTGAAAATATATTTCTTTTATATTTCCCCTTCTACTGTTTTGTTTGTTATGTGCTGTTGAGTCTGAACTGACTCAGCTGACCCTTTAGCAGGTTTTCAGAGGCTATAAAGCACACCCGAGAAGATTGTCTATCTTTTTCTTGAGCAGCTGGTGGACACGAACTGCCTGACTTTGGGTAGACTGCACAACTCCTTACCAGTAACTACCAGAGCTCTCTCAATTTTTCCCTTTTTTAATTTAAATTTTAGGATGCTAATTCAGCCAGCATATGTTACTGTTTGTTTTCTAACACAGTGTTAATGTTTATACTTGGAATAATAAAATATTTCATTTCATTTTACAGCAGATTGGCCCAAGACCATGACAGGTCTTCCCAGCACATCAGGGACAACTGCCAGTGTGGTCATCATCCGGGGCATGAAAATGTATGTTGCTCACGTTGGTGACTCTGGGGTGGTTCTTGGAGTTCAGGATGACCCGAAGGATGATTTTGTCAGAGCTGTGGAGGTGACACAGGACCATAAGCCAGAACTTCCCAAGGAAAGAGAAAGAATCGAAGGACTTGGTGGGAGGTAACCATTCTATTGTTTTATCTTCCTCTGTTGATCTTACTTAGTTCTGTTTTGCTTTTCTAACCTGAATGACCTACATCTCCCTTCGAATGAAGTTCTTTTCTTTTGCAATGCTGAGGTTTTAGTTTTCCTGATGTGCTACCATGTGCATGTATTTACCTTTATATTTTTAATTGACTTAAATTTTCTATAATGCTTCTAGTAACAGTATATATGAGGTCTTTTTGAAAACCCTCATAGAAATATTGGTCAGCATAACCTTCTTTATAATCTAGACTAAATAACCCTTATAATTCCAGAATAGAACACTTTGACTTTGACTTTGGGAAAACAGTTTTAAATTAGAATTATCTTTGAACTTTTCCCCCTGTGATATCTAAGATTTATGGAAAACCTTTCTTACTGCTTTTCTTTATTTAAATTAGTATACCATATCAACTCTTGTTGGCTGTCTTGTTTTCTAACATTTTTAAATTATGACAATAGTGAAAACCCCCAAAACTATCCAAATATTTTTCACGTTGGTGACCTAATGTCTAGCTGTAGCAAATGACCAGAATGCAAGACAAGAGTAACTGGCTACAGTATCTTTAAGTATTACAGCTCGAGACTTGATTTTGTTCTTCAGTTCTTTCAACTTGAGAAATTCCAAATGCATTCTTCCCTTTTGATTTTCTGACTCCAGCTTTTTACACATTTTGTTATAATACTTTACTTTGTTTTCCCTAGCTGTCCTTTTCAATCCCTGTTCATCTCTGTTGATTTGGTTTCTCAGTGTTGTAGTGCAGTATTCAAAGCCTCTCTCTGTGATAACATTTTGCTTTCTTCATTGAATTCTTCAGTAATCCAATTCTCTGGTGGCCTAATGGTAAGAAGCTACCCTGTAATCCCAAAGGCATGCAGTTTGAATCTACCAGCTACCAAGAGAAGGAAGGGCATTCTCCTCCTGAGTGATTTATAGGGTCTGACAACCCCCTGGAGGGTCAGCTGTGAGTTGGTTCTGACCTGACAGCACGTAACAACAATAATGACAACCAGCAATTTTAAAACCTAAACTGTATGGAGGGACATCATTTCTCTTTTTAGATGGCCACCTTTAGGAATATTAATAATTATACATTTTCCATTATTGATTAGAAGAGTTACTATTATATTGCTTTAAACCCTTAAAATTTACCTTCTCTAACTTGTTTTTGTGGTAAAGGTGAATAAGGAGTGCCTACTCTATAATAAGGTATAATTTTTTTATTTCAAAGTGATTGTGAATTAATTGTGATAGAACTTTAAATGGAGTATGACTTTATTTTGGGAATTACAGACCCCGGTTTCCTTACATGCATGCACTTTGGCTGATGCAAAGATCAGATACATGATACATGAGCTGCTACTGGATACTGACTGCTGTGGCACAAAAAGCTTATCTAAGCTGCATTGTTCTGCATGTAACCATGTAGTCTTGTTTACTTAAAAGTAAACAGTCATGTGGGAATGAGAATTAGAAAATGACTTCTGGACTCTGTAAGAATCCTTGCTGAAGACACCATCATTAGGGAAGCTGCCACATTGTTTCCTGTCTGGTATCCATCTGCAAATCTAATTGAATCTGTTGTCAGGTGATGGTCTTTTGATCCTATGAGTTGTGAGGGTCAGTCTTCAGACTTGCAGACAGGCCACTATGGGTAGCCATGCAGATTGGGTGTGACTACACTAAATAACCACATAAAGTGATCTCTTTTTTCTTTCTATTTTTTTTTTCTCTCCTGTTCATGTGGGATATATTTTTGCTATTTAGGCTTTATTATTATATGTTTTATTATTGATGAGTCTGAACTTTGGCTGACTCTGAGGAGAATGGGAATCCCAGAACACTTGATTGTGCTGATGAGAAACCTATACTTGGACCAAGAGGCAGTCATCAGAACAGAGCAAAGAAACACTGCATGATTCAAAATAGGGAAGGGTGTATGCCAGGGATGTGTCCTGTCTCCATACCTTTTCAACCTGTATGCAGAACAGTTTATCCGGGAGGCTAGGCTCTATGAGGAGAAATGTGGGGTCAAGATTGGTGGAAGATCTATCAACAGTCTGCATTAGTACTCTTTTGAGATTGGAATGGAGGAAAAAAGCATTTGCAAGATCTATCATGCAGTCGTCAGAACAGAGCAAGGGAACACTGCATGGTTAAAAATTGGGAAGGGCGTACGCCAGGAATGCATCCTATCTCCATACTTTTTCAACCTATATGCAGAACAGATTATCCGGGAGGCTGGGCTCTATGAGGAGAAATGTGGGGTCAAGATTGG